CCCCCCCACACACACGTACACGCTCACACACTCACACACACACACACACACACACACTCAGATGGAGTCAATATTTTCTTGTCCCTCTCCACTATCATTAATATTCAGTACTTCACACAACAGAACTACCTCTAGAAAATATGTTCTTGTTTTCCTTGTCCCGGTCATCCAAATCGACGTTGTTGATTTTCAAAATATGGCTGTCTGTGTGAGTGTCATTTTGAGAGTCCCACGTGTGTTTGTGTGTGTGTGTGTGTGTGTGTGTGTGTGTGTGTGTGTGTGGGTGTGTGTGTGTGTGTGATCACGTGCATGTGAAAATGCAAGCATTTGTTTTGCAAAAGCATGTGTATACACATAATGTGCTACAAGAACAAAACTGTCCTTCTGTTATGAATGGTAAAAACACACGCAGCCTTGCAATATTCACAAGTTTTGGGCCTTTTGAATCGTCTGTCCCATCATTTTATACCAGAGAAAAAAAATCTCGAGATAACAAAAACAAATGTTTATTTACTTAACTCCTTAAACTACCACCTGAACAGAATCATCCGGTGGGTGGTTGGTGGGTGCTCTGGTGTGGTTTGCTTCTTCTTTCCTATCAATCATCTATCATCTTTATCTCCCCTACTTCTTTTTTGTGTTTGTTACTCTCTTGTAACACCTCTAATCTTCGGCACTTATATGACCTTATTGTGTTGCAAATGCCATAAAACTCTTATTGGCGAAAAAAAAAGAATCATCCGAGACAGGCCAGCATAGAACCTACCCAGTCTCGAACCTGACCACTTTCCCTTACAGACAATGAAATGATGGCCGGCCTTCTCTTGAGACTGACCACTTCTGGCTAACAGTACAATGACGGCTGGACTACTTTTGAGACTGGTCACTTTTTTCTAACACTAACAATACAACCATGGCCTACTTTTGAGATTGACCACTTTTCTCCTAACAGTACAACTTTGGCCTGCTTTTGAGACTGATTACTTTTCCCAAACACTAACAGTAAATAGCACAACAATAGCCTACTCTTAAGACTGACCACTTGTCTCCTAATAGTACAACTTTGGCCTACTCTTGAGACTGATTACTTTTCCCTAACACTTATAGTACATAGTACAACAATAGCCTACTCTTAATTAAGACGGACCACTTTTCACTAATACTAAGAGTACGTTACAACAAAGGTCTACTCTTGAGACTGATTACTTCTCCCTAACACTAACACTAATAGAACAACAATAGCTTTCTCTTGAGACTGATTACTTTTCCCTAACACTAACAGATCAACAATAGCCTACTTGTAAAGCTTACCACTTTTCCTCAATACTAACGCTAAAAGTACAACGATAGCCTTCTCTTAAAAAAAGGCTGCTTTTTCCTAACAACAACTTACACTAAAAGTACAACAATAGTCTACTCATAAAGCTTACCACCACTTTTCCCTAACACTAACAGTACAACAATGGTCTGCTTTTGAGACTGACCACTTTTCCCCAACAGCACAATGCTGGCTCTAATTAATCCCAACCCACAGGGCCCCCAGCAGCCACTGCATCATCCCCACTCCAACCTAGACAACAATTCAGTGGGAAATGGGGATAGAGAGGGGAGAAGGAAGAAAGAGTAGATATCAGTCTCTACGACAGTGAGTAATAGATGAAAATTATATCCATCATCTACAAACTAACGTTGGTCTACAAGGCATTGACAACAGCAAAGCTCTTCACTTCAAAGGGAAAGGTATCCCGTAAGATAAAACAGCTGACATAATTTAACAGATGAGAAAGAAACAGTGAGGAGCAATTACTAAGAGACAGAATTCAGCATAGGAAACATAGGAAATTCTGCTAACTTCAACAAGGATCTGTTCTTAAAAAAAAAAAGAAATCACACATTTAAATAAATGAAATAATTCTCGTTTATAACAGAAGTTTCACACTGATAAAGGTCACAGAGCGTATTTCCTAGCATACTGGCAAAGCACGACAAAACTGTTAAATACATTCCAACAGAAACATTATTTTTTTTAAAAGAGAGGGGAAAAAAGCATCTGAAACATCTATAGGAGCTACTAACAACAGACGTGTCGATGAATGACAACAGACATACTGTGAATATTACAAACAACAACAATAAATGTATGCACACATGTTACATCTTTCTCTCAACAATATGAAAAAAAAATAACCGCCTCCAACAACAAAATATGCTGTCCTTTCTCCTTTACAGAACACCACGATCTAACACCTTAGACCAAAATTGCTTGATATGTATAACGATAAAACACAGACCAACCTCTTCCATAAAACAATATTATATATATATATATTATGAGTGAGGTTCAGACAAGTCTAATAACTGAGATTCATATCACAAAGACAGGAAAAGCTCTTTGCTAAAATGCACCGACTTGTTGTGATTTCGAATGGTTTGGTTTATGGCTGCACCTTGCGTTTTATGTCATTTTCAACACAGTTCAGGTCAGGTGATGGGTAGGAGTTCCAAAGAAATAATTAGCTTCACATTTTTTCCTTCCGTATGTTGAATTTGAAGGCCAGTGCAGTAGAGAAAAGAGCTTGAACTGATTGCACAGGTACACATAACATATCTTGGAATGTTGCAGAACATTGGAAATTGTAGTTAACACAACAATATTACACATAAATCGTATTAAGAGTTTCATCTAGGAGAGGTTGTTTCTTATGATACAGCATTGATTTGTTGGAAATCCTTACTCTGCCAGTTCATGAACTTTTTTCTCTGCTTTTGTTGCAGAATAATCCTGCCGTGCTGAGTGCTAACCTGAAAAGAAGTTGAGAGAGCAGAGAGCTCCCAGCCATCATCCTCTCCGCAGGGAAACAAGATGAGATGAAATTACACCCTCCGGCTTGTATATTTCCTCAACCTACACCATCAGTACGACATTGTATGAAAGACACTATCATTCAACTCAATTACATCCTGGAACTTTTTCATTAAAAAAAAATTACATCACCTTCTGTTTTGAAAAGAAAAACAACCCCCCCCCCCCCAAAAAAAAAAAAAAAAAAAAAGGGGGGGGGGGGGCAGACTTAAAAGGCTCATCTCTGACAAGCCCAGGCAAGTGGATGGAGACCTAAGAAAACTCCAAAAATAACCGATGTTCACAAATGCATTGTCGAGATTTAAACTAAGGTCACCCGCACTTCGGTCCAACATGACAAAAACCAATCCAACTGGATAAAATACCACACAACCAAAGCATAAAGTTAAATTTAAGAAAGAAAAAGGATTGAAAAAAAGGCAGAATGTTTCCAGTATAAGAAGTGTAAGACACTGACGTCCTATAAAAAAACAGACGTAAAAGGCTTCAAAGAAATCTTTACTGATAATAATGTAATAATACGATATGCATGTATAGCACAAGGGAGATTTGGGTTCAGTTTGAGCACCAGATCACTGAAAAATAAAACCAGAGGGGTGGACCATAAAAAAAAAGGTAAGTACTATTAATGCAGGAAATTATGAAAATATAATGAAGTGATACTTTTGATAAATCTAGTGTTACAAACCACACTCTGTACCAGCATTTCATCTCCACAGCAAGCAATCCATTGAGACCAAAATTGTGAGAATTTTCAGTTTTTACACCCTCTCAAAGTTGTATCAAACCTTCCAACATCACCAAAAGTTAAGCTTAATGTTATCGGCAAGGCTTACTATTTTCTTGCTTTTCATGACTCTTGACAGGAACAACACAACGTGACACTAAGGTTTTGTCTCTGATGTTAAAAGTCCTACACGGATTTAACATGGATTGCTTGTAGCATTGACGATCTGCTGAGAGGGAAATTCATTCATCTGTTTAACAACCATGGAAATAATAACTAGTTTCCAACAAGGCTTTTTTCAACAACAGGCCTCAAAACACAATATTCTTCGAGTACTTTAAAGAAATTCAACGGATGGTCCCCTAAAAAAAAAAGAAATGTTCACAAACATAAGAAAAGAGATAATGAACCTTAAGCCAACAGAGCAGCAGAAATGAGAGTTGGACTGAAGGCATGAGAGTAAGTACCAGGAAAAGATGTCACCCTGTGCAAATAGAGGTACAGATGTCAGAATGAAAACCCCATCAGTTGGAGAGAGAGAGACAGAGACAGAGAGATAAAGAGACAGAGAAAGAGAGAGAGAGAGAGCAAGAGAGAAAGAGAGAGAGAGAGAGAGAAAGAGAGAGAGAGAGAGAGAGAGAGAGAAAGAGAGAGAGAGGGAGAGAGAGAGAAACCCTTCTACTGGAGGGACAATAGAATATTTATATACGGGTATCCTCTGACCCTGTTAAGGTGAACATTACCATCAACAACTTCCCCTTCCCCACCATCCCTCTCCTTTCCCTTTCTTCCCTCCTTCTCCTCTGTCCCCTTCTACCCTCCCACTTCCTCTCTGCTTATCTTTCATCTCCCTTCATAACTCTCCTCTTCTCTCATCCTCCCGCACCAATCTTTATCCCTTATTGTGGATCACGAGAAGTAACGCATTTTGTCAGCATGACTCACAAATCCATTTTAATCCACCCCCTCCCAATCAACACAGAGCGTCTATTGCATCCTCATCACATGATCAGATCGGTATCGTCGTCGGCGCCCAAGAGAGGTGCGTCGCTGTCGCCCAGGAGTCCACCGCCAGGCTCTCTCCTGTGGCGACGTTGCCGGTAGCGACGGAACAGGTACACATTGGCCACCACAATCAGGGCTAGCACGATGACTCCGCCCACAGACCCTCCGATGATCAGCGGCACTTGAAGAGGGGGAGACAGGAAAAGAATAATCAATAATAGCAATAGATAGCATTGGTATGGCACAAATTCCCACTCAACAGCAAGCTCTATGCGATTTACAATCTATATCATTACCCCTGCAACCCTGATAGCATTCTGAAACAATCTCAACTTCTTAGGAAACATGGGGAGGGGTTGTTGAGGCAGAGGAAGGAAGGAATACTTTCCTCTATTAAGCTTTCTGCTCTATTTTTGTTCCATTTACTCAGTCCCTCAATCATGGGGTACTTTTCTGAAATTGCCTGCTCTTTCGACAACAGGAGATTAGGCCTTTCCTTGATTCTACAATACAGAACTCTGTTGAAATCTCTTTTTTTTGCTTCAACACGGGAAATTGCTGAAATGGCCTCTGGCATCTACAATTGAATATTATGCTGAAAGCATCTCCCCAACTATTTTACCTTCTCCTCGACAATGGTTCCTCGTAACAGCGATATATTCATAGCAATAATACATTACCATCTTTCTCATCCCTATTATTGACTTCTCACAGATAGCAAATCCAGGGAAGTTATGCGTATTTAATAGATACAGTCACATCTCATGCTTTATTCATGCGCCATAAAACCTCTACTATAAAAAAAAAAGGCTAGAGATATATTTCATGTTTCCATCAAAACAACTTTGACTAATTTCAAGGAAGGCTGCTTAGATCCTGACAAGACTTTCCTGGACTGATCTGAACAGACCCAAACAGGACTAAGACAACAAATTAAATATTTTTCCCCCATACGAAAATCAAACTCAGATCCATCGCATGCAAGGCAATGGGCCCAACTATCTCACCACACATGCTGGGAGAGATCAGGGCTCATAAAATAATTAAAGCTACATCTCTCTCTGATCTCAGTAAAGAGTCCATTCGTCACTGCGCTAGCAAAATAGCATAACTTAGAACTGTGCCAAAAAGAATTAAAGCTAGCTACATCTCTCTCTCTCTGATCTCAGTAAATTGTCTATTCGTCACTGCACTTGCAAAATGGCATAACTTAGAACTGTGCCAAAAAGAATTAAAGCTACATCTCTCTCTGATCTCAGTAAAGAGTCCATTCGTCACTGCACTTGCAAAATGGTATAACTCAGAGTTGTGCCAAAATGCAATTAGCCCTTCATTTTGTTTGGTGGTACTAATATCTATCTTTTGGTAAAATCAAAACAAGATGCGCTGGCAGTCACAAAAAAACAAAAACAACATGTATGGCAAGTCTTACCATTATTAGATCATGATAAATAGTCTAATTAAACAGTTTTTTCCCCTTCATCTAAAAAAGTAGCAAAACTGAGATGTGTAACATTTTGCTAGAGCAGTGATGAATTACTTTACAGGGTCTACGCGATGATATAGTCTAGTTAAAGGTTGTTTTTTCTTTGATCTCAAAAGTAGCAAAAATGAGATGTTCCATTTTACTAGCGCAGTGACGGATTACTTTGCAGAGTCTATGAGCTGGTCACTCACATTTGCTGGGTGAGGTTTTGGCTTCTGCAGGTTGTGATCCCGGCTCTGACCCTGACCCTGAGCCTGAGTGTGGGGCGGGTGCAGGGACATCAGGGTGGCTCGAAGAAGAATCTGAAAGTGAGCGTAAACTTGAGTTAGAAATGAGTTTTGAATTTTTTTAAAGAATCAAAAGGGTACTACATACAGTCCACGGATGCCAATGGGATTTTGTAAAAAAACTGGGGGCTCTCGTGGCCAAGAGGTGAAGGTGTTGGCCTCTCATTCAAAGGTCCCGGGTTTGAATCCGGGTAGCGACGGAAAAATTTTCTTCTCTAAAATTGTCTCCATTCACCTCCTTTCCTGCTGCTCTCTAGCAATGTTCTGTCGTCTGCTTTTGTCTCCACTTTCTGCCCCCGCCTCCTCACCACCTTTGCCCCATCCTCCGGGGTCCTGACTCTTTCTGCAGCCTTTCTACTGCTACTCCTTGGCTCCTTCTTACTGTTGTCTTTCAGCCACACCTCTGAACTTCTGGTTGGAGAGATCTACACCTAGCCTTCTCGGACAAGGGCGAAAAATCTTGGAGGTCACCTGCAAGTTGCACATGTTTATGATCCCTTGGTGGTCTAAAATCGATAAGAGTAGGCTTCGGTCACCACCTGGGCGAAATTTCCTACCAACTGAAAATGTCTAAAGGGTCCCGTGCGCTCATGACCTTATGCAGTTGCAAGCGCCGTAAAACACTTTAAAAACAAAAAATGAAAAAATAAGAAAATTTATGAAATTGCATTATGACAGTTAGCAAAGACAAATTTCCAGCGCTAGTTGTGAAGCAGTTTTCTCAAACCAATCATCAGTTTTCACAACGAGAAAATCTGGAAGAGTGATCAAGACAAATGAGCCCATAAAGACCAGGCAGTTTTGACAGACATCCAGTTTGCTTAGTTTGGTAAGAGTTTTATGATGCCCGCAACTGCATAAATTCATATGAAGCTTGTCTGCATGACATCAAAACAAATAAAAGAAGACAAGAGTACAGAAACTGTTAATGCATGATTGAAGCCTGTTTACTAGTAGCAAAACCTACTCATTTGTATTAGTAGAGGTTTCACGGCGCTCGCAACTGCATAAGGTCATATGAGCGCCAAAAGATTAGAGGTGTTATAAGAGAGTAACAAACATAAAAAAGAAGGAGGGGAGATAAGGATGATAGATGTTTGATAGGAAAGAAGAAGCAAACCACACCAGAGCACCCGCCAACCACCCACAAACCTACTCACTCGAGTAGACAAAGAAGTACAAATGAAAAACATTCACCCTCCCTTTCAAGTCGTAACTCAGTCTACCACAACTACAAAAAGCACAATCACTTTAGTTTTAGTAACAGTTCTATGGCACTTGCAACACATTAACGTCAAGAGTGAAGCAAACACAACAAAGAAGGAGAAAGATATGGACAATAGATGGTTTTTGTTGTTTTAGAAAGTGTTTTACGGCACTTGCAACACAATAAAGTCATATAAGTGCCAAAGAATGGATGTTACAAGAGAGGAACGTACACAAAAAAAATGAGGAGAGGTAAGGACGATAGTTGTTTGATAGGAAAGAAGGAGAAAACCACACCAGAGCACCCTCCAACCACCCATCAGTAAGAGTTCCATGGCACTTGTAACACAATAAGGTCAAGAGTGAAGCAAACAAAACAAAGAAGGAGGAGACTTGGTTTTAGTAAGTGTTTTACGGCACTTGCAACACAATAAGGTCATATAAGTGCCGAAGATTAGAGGTGTTACAAGAGAGTAACAAACACAAAAAAGAAGGAGGAGAGATCAGGATGATAGATGTTTGATAGGAAAGAAGGAGCAAACCACACCAGAGCATCTGCCAACCACCCACAAGGAGGAGAGATAAGGACGATAGATGTTTGATAGGAAAGAAGGAGCGAACCACACCAGAGCACCCACAAACCACCCACATACAATATCTAACGAATATCATTGACAGAACAATTTTTGATAGAGAAAAGAGATAAGCCTGAGATGGGTTGCAACAGCTCCCACCGTTAACTACCACCTGCAGGCACAAACACAAGACAACGGCACAACCAATGTCTACAACAGAAGAAAAGATTGCTTCCTTAATAACAGCATGGGAAATTTTTTCTTCAAGCATCCCATCAGGGGTTGGACGTTGTGTCCTTGGGAAAGGCACTTTACACGAATTTTCCTCACTTCACCCAGGTGGGAATGGGTACCCGGCTATAGACAGCGAAAGATCTTGTCAGTTTGTTAGTGTTTGAGCGCTTAATCAGCTGCTTGCACTGTATGCTTCCCGGGAAGCTGAGAATGTTTCGGAGTGTTCTATGGTCTGCTGGGGTAATAATATAGTGTAAAGCGCATAGAGCCTGCTGTTGAGCGGGGATATGCGCTATGCAAATGCTATTTATTATTTTTATTAAGCATAAAATGGCACAAAAACGTTAAATTTTTGTTTAGCTCTGGATTACAGCTTGAGACAAAAACTTGGAAGATATTTCTTTTTCTTGCAACCATGACCAAGTGCCTTACTTATACAGAGACCTTACAATATGGAGAGTACGAAAAACATATCTTCCACCAGATATTGAAATATATTCAGCCGAAAATTTTGATAATTTTTTAAAATATTGCAGTATCTTAACCTGTGTTGTATTGGTCGCATGCTCTCAGGAAATATTGTGCTGAAATTCAAATTCTGAAAGTTGAAAATAGCAAGAAAAAACGTAAAATGTAAGAGTGATTGTTATGAGAATGAAAAGTTTTTTCTCGAAATGTTTGCTTTCTAAGCTCCGGACAATTTAACAATTTGCTGCCGATATAAAAACTTCTGAAAGTTCATTATTCTATTGTTATGAAAATGAAACAGTGTTTTTCTCTCTTCCGTGAAATGTTTGCTTTCTAAGCTCCGGACAATTTAACAACTTGCTGCTGATATAAAAACTTCTAAACGTACTTTGCTCTAAATACATAGAATGAAACAGTGCTTTTCTCTCTCCTACAAAATTTGTACATTGTTCTAAATACGTACTTTTCTCTGGAGTTCCTGTCTCTTCCCTCATGCACATTTGCTGCACGGCATCGTAGCCACTTCCCGGCTCACACGAGCAAACCGTTCCCTTTGACCCCTGCTGGGTGCATATCTCGTGGTAGCCACACTGGTCCCGGTGTGAACAGGGAGACCCATGATGACTCGTGGTCACACACACATCGTCCATCAGTTTCCACTCTGAGGGTGACATGGAAGAAAACATTGTTATCTAACTCCTTATCTCCAGCAAGCCGCTCTCAGCGGTTTGGGCCCATTCCTTTATAACTTCAAAATCAAATTACTTTTTGGCAATAGCCGAAAACAGGTATCTTTTACAGGAAGTTCATTCAATATATGAAGAACTATCAAAATTGGTTCACCAGTTTTCATTTAACGACCAAATTCGTGACGTATATGTCACTTTTAGATTTTGTACCAAGAGACGGCCCTGGCATAGAGGGTCTACCTCCCTAGAACATAAAGAGTGAAGTGACTGTGAATAACCTTTATGTGTATAGATGAAAAAGGAGATGGGTGGTTGGATATTTACTAAATGTTGATCTCTTTTGATACCTTTATCTTTCTTGTTCATCTCATACCTTCATGTCAGCATTTTTGCTGGACTTACTGTTCTTCTGTCCCCACATTTGTATCGTCGCTGCCGCAACAAAGAACAGGAATTTCCTCTGACCTTGCTTTACGTAGCGAGTAAAAAATCTTTACAGTGACTCATTTTTCTTGCTACAGCTGTGAAATCTATGGTTGGATGAAAGACTTTGACAAAAGCCATTGTGTCATTTGCCTTTGGATGAAATCTTGCTTTGGTGAGGTCAAAATAAGGCGGTTCAATTGATGCACAGATCAAACAAGCTGTATTTGAAAATTAGTTCCTTGTTGGAAGAGATTTGTAAACTAAAGAGGTACAGTATTAAAAGTAAAGTTGTTCCCGCATCTGATCCGGATATTGGGGATGGCCTTGTTAGTGAGACAACTTCCTTGGCCTTCGGCATATTGTGGTAGGATGGCCAGTTCCTTTCCACGCCGCCTTTACTTCCAAAACTCGAAGTCAGGTACCCATTACTGCTGGGTGGGCAGGAGGGGGCGAAAAAATCAGTGTCCGACTTTCCGCGTTGAGACGAGCGCACTGACCGCTCCACTCCACCACTGTACCCTCATTATGATGAGGTGGAGCAATGTTGAAGACGTGGGGCAATGTTGAGGAGAGGGACCAGTGTTGATGAGG